ATTCAAGCAGTCAGCCAGCCAGAGAGCCAGCCAGCCAGCCAGCCGGATGCGTATATTTAAAACTTATTAAATTGCTATAATTTATACGACTTATCTTGTGGGCGCTGGCGTCTTCGTCTCCGTCTCCGTCTCCGTCTTCGCCTCGAGGCGAGGGTGGCTTTGAACTCGTAAAATACTCCGCAAAAAATCGTATAGCACTGCTAAAGGCGCACACGGCGACAGTTCGAGGCAAAGGCAATTAATTTACATGCAAATCGTGCTCAAACTTTTTGCCCTCACTCCAATAAAAAAGCAGTGTCTGCCTTAAAGTATTCTGCGCTTAAAGGCTACACACACACACACACACACACACACACTTGATTAGTGGGCCTCCTGTTGTGCGCAGCCTGTTTAAAACAATATGGCGAGAGCTGAGGGGCGAGGAGCGAGAAGCGAGGAGCGAATAGCGAGGACTACGACCCTTTTGGGACTGCGACTCACGTGCGTCGATGTCGACAGGTTGCCGTACCTTAAAGGCGCTGCGAGTTCCATGCCGCCCTCTTTGTCATTGTTATTGCTATTGTCTTTCTTCTTGTCTATTCCGGCCTAACAAATTGCAATTTTTTGCTGATTCCTTCTCGTATTGTTGTTGATTTATTGTACAGGTAGAGCAACAGAAACAACAACGGGCACAACGCGAACTGAGTGCACATTAAACATTCCGTAATGAGTTTAAAGTTTATAATGGAATTTTTGATTATGCCAGAGGCGGAGAAGGCACTTGATGGATCCCTCGACCTTTCGGAAAATGCTACACACCCAAAGCATCGTAATTACAGAGAACGGATTATTGGATGTACTGAAAATGAAAGACAGTTTCCCTCGATAGCCGTAAATCTACTGATTTCAATTGCCCAAGCTGATGGGGCTTACGTCTGGGCATACGCCTCGATTCACCCAACTAATAATCGTCTCTGGCTGCCTTCGCCTCACTTTATCAATCCATCACAAACTCTTATGGCAACGTTTGCCCCTCCTCTTCCTTTAGACGACTTCAACCCATTTCCACGCTGTGCAAATCTCTTAAGCTCCGAACACTTTGTGTATAAAGTAAATTTGTATCTTCAATGTCTGTCTCTGTTTTCTTTTTCAATTTCCACAACATAAAACGCGGCCATTAAACGCTTTAAAATCAACATCAGCTCTGCGACGGCGGGGGCAATAAAGTCGATCCGAAATTGCTTCCTCCGCACATAAAATCCAACAACATGGCGAGCCCCAAAATCGTCCTACATGCCTAAATTCCTTTACACAACACCAAACACACCCACACACACATACTCGTATACACACACACACAATTACTGTGCTTTGCGCACAAACACAGCAAAAGTTAACGAAACACTTTACCATTCGCCTGATTTCCACACCCCCTGCCACGCCCCTCCCTCTGCTGTTTCCCCTACCCACGAGCTCTGCCCACTTAATACTTAAATGCAAACGTGTAAATTATGTGATTTTTCCCCGGCGGCCATGTTTGTTCGCAAACTCCATTACTAACATGGCGGGAACTTCCTTCGCCTCGAAATGTGCCCCTCGCGCTGCTTCCCCTGAACACATACACCTGTTTGTTTCGAGAAATCGTCGCGTTTTACCATTAAAAGCGAAAAACAACAAACAAAAAGGCAAAAAACCTAACCAAGAACCCCTTTATGTGTTTTTCATGTACTTTTATTTGATTGTCGCACGCCTCGACGCTTCGCAGAGCGACCGGCCTAGCTAGGCAGGCAGTCAGGGAGTAATTTATGGCTCTCTTTTAGTGCTTTAAATATTAGCAAATGTTCATTAACGACTATTCAAATTGGCGCTAGTCAGGCTCACTTTGGGCAATGAGCGAGCTTTGCAATTACTCAAAAGTACTTAGCACACAATTGACGAACGGAAAAGCTTCTAACTACTCGGACCAGCGATAAAGCGCTTCACTAAAGTCCGAGTCCAGTTCGTTTCAGCCATAAAATAAGCCTCAGCCTCTCTTCACTTGGAGCAAATAGAAGAACAAGCAGAGAGTGAGAGGGAGATGATGTTATGGGGAAAGACAACAAATTAAAATTAAATCCATCCCCACGGCCACTGAGTGCAGCATAGTGTTTATTAGACTACAGCAACACCTTGCCAAGTGGCGCGCACATAAAATATAAATTTGTAATTTTAATATTATTAAAAATGTTAAATTGCACGCAGCATAAATCTCATTTGGGCTTGTGGGCAACTCGTGGGGTAGGATGGGCGGAGGAGGACGGCATAAATGCGACAGCTTGTTGGCTTCACTGTGGCCCAGGGGTTGTGACAAACACTTACACTCACACACACACACACACACGCATACACACGCATGATGTGCGCATTATACAATAACCATTACTGGCAGCTGCGTTTGCCACACTATTTTTATTGTGCCCTCTTTGTGTGTTGCTTTAATTTAAGCGATTTGCTTTGGGTTCATAAAATCGCCACAGGCTCAACGAGCTCAACGAACGTCAGCCTGTTCTCCTGTCAAGTGATATATACATATATTTTATGAAATTATAAATGCAATTAAATAAATAGATAATGATAGGACACGCTCTACTCTCTATTCTCTCTGGCACAGCCTCCGCCTGTCGCTGTCTCTCTCACTCCCCGTCCACAGTCTGTCTTGACTGATCAATAGCACTGTGAAAGATACAGAGAATCAAATTCTTGCATCATCTCAAAGCAAGCACAGCGTGGATGCTAGCTAAGCCGTTGCCATTGACAACTCAACTCGAGCAGCTGATAAGTTAGCTGCTTTTGACCCATTCAATCGATAAATGGAAAGTCAGCTTTGCCGCTCCGGCCATTTATTTAATGAGCCAGCTGCGAGTGGCACTTTCGTCCAAAGAGCTATCAGTGTGCTCCCACTTTAGTATCCCGTTTTTTAAAAGTACCCAATGCCCATTAACTTGCTTGAATTTATTTCAGCAATTGCCAGCACCGACTGCTGACTACCGACTGCTATTATGCGTTCGTTAATTATTCACATATACATATATATACACACTCACACGCAGAGACATCCCGAATCGCAGCACGTTTCGGTCATAAAAATAGCCCCCTATAAATGGCACGCCCCTAACGTGGGCGTCGAGCTTGGAGAGAGGCAAACCGCTTAACCTTCGCCCCCTAATACAAGTGCCTCTGCAGATCTATGGATATTTATGCATTCCTTCATCAACACTCAGAAAACTCACCCTAGCCCATATGCAGGAATCTTGGCATTAAATAAATCTCACATATATACATCCTATAAAAGCTTATAGTGGGCAGCTTTAATGCACAGACAAGCAAGCAACCACTCAACCACCCAACCACCCACACACACACATGTGTAAAAAATGACGCAGACATTATTCACGCTATCATCGCACACAGAAGGCAGACGGACAGGCAGACAGACTGTCAGACGAAGCAGCGCAGAAGAGGAGGGGGTGACTCAACTCAACCATTTTGGAAATGCTTTGACTATATCCATTTTGGGTTACCCAACCGAACTATGCTCGCCTGGATTTGTCGCCATTCCCGTTTACTCGTTGTCCTTTAACTCGTTCACCCAAACGACGATTAGCTGGGAATTGCATTACTCTCTCTCTCTCTTTCTCTCTCTCTCTCTCTCTCTCTCTCTCTCTCTCTCTCTCTCTCTCTCTCTCTCTCTCTCTCTCTTAGCTCAGTAAGCAAACAAATGTAGAATACACCTACGCATGACCATAAATACGTACGCCTAGGCATTAAAAGCATATGTGCTCAGCCGTGGGAGTTTCATTTTCGACTTATAGAGTAAGCAATAAACTCGTTAGGCTTGCTGTTCTCTTGCGTAATTAAAGCAGAATCTGAGATACTGAGGTTGGGAAACTTATTTCATCGACTCTTACTTTGGGCTGAGTGCCATAGCCCATCATATTTGCATCAGCTTAAAGCTGAAGCGATGAACAAATATTTTCTACTGATGCCTGCTTTGACAAAGCGAGGTCTTCTGATGCGAAACGTCCTCAAAATGTTCAATTTTAGCTCACATTCCATTTGCGAATCTCCCTGCCCACACACATGAGCACATTCTCATTTCCGTATCGACCACATGACTGTTCCCTGGGCTCTGTTTAAGCACCCGTCGTATAATCGAATTATCATCATGGCGTCAACAAATGATTTCTATTTATCCAGCTACTGCTCGCCATTTACCCTCCTGGAAATGTCCTGTCGTGGGTCTAGACGTCCCCAGGGCGAGTTTCTTTTTTGGCATCAGCTCTTTGCTCGCTGCCATCCGTCTGCTATATGTATGTACACCCTACGTCAATTGATATTGCTAAGCTATGAATATGTTGCAGGCTGAGAGGCCGAAAGGAAGATTTCCGATCAAGCTGAACCAATTCTCCTTTCCCACATTTACCTACATAGGGTCAACGTTAATTAATGCCAGAATCATTAACATTTTCCTATATTCGTAGTACACAAATTTACCAGAACATCGGATTTTTAAGGCCGTTTATCCCTAACAGGACGAAAATATCGAAAATTACGTGGCAGCATTGAAACTCCTATTTTCTTTTTCGTTTTTAAAGTTTTTGTTGTTTTTGGTATTGCCAACGTCATTGACGCTGGTCACTTTCCCTGTTATTCAGCTGCTCGCAGATTCCCTTTTTTCATTTTGTTATTTTTTTGCTGAGTTCTGTCGACGTTTGTTTGAGGTTATGTTGAATGTCAGTTTGTTATCCTTGTGCAAATCCTTTTACACAAATGAAATTCGGACCAAAGAGCGATAAGCAAAACACAATTGTGTCGACAGTCGAATTACCAGCGAGACCAACAGACTATTTGCTCCGCTTAGCCAACGCAAAATACGATTTGATTTAAATGAAAACATTTTGAGCATGGTGTAATTTTGTATATTTTGTTGTCACTGAACCCAGTAGACTAATGCAGTTTCTTCCTTTTACTCTTTCCCACAGATATCAATAAGGGCTCACCCATCGACTACAAAAGCGGATCAGCCTGCTCCACACCCACAAAAGACACGCTGAAGGGCGGCTACGAGCGCAGCACGCAAGGCTGCATGGGCCCGGTGCTGCCGCCAAGGAGCATGAACGGGATGCCTACGCATCATTACTCGGCGCCGATGAACTATCGCAAGGACCTGGCCGAGCGCTGCTCGGGCCAATGCAACTGGGCCAGCATCGCCATGATGGTGGTCCTGGCTGTAATATTTTTCTTGATGGTCGGCCTGACGTTGTCCGGCACTCTGCGCTGGTCAGGGTCGGAGCCATGCCCTGTTCTAGTCGGCAACGAGGTCTCTGAGGTGACGGCTGCCAAGAGCACCAACACCGACTTATCCAAGCTGCACAATGCATCGGTACGCGCGAAAAATGGCCAAGGCATAGGAATCGTCCAGGGACAGGCTGGAGGCGGTAGCGGCACGGCGACCGTCACAGCGGCCACATCGAACAGCGGCACTGCTCAAGGACTGCAGTCGACATCCACCTCGGCGGAGGCCACCTCCTCGGCAGCGGCCGCCACGGCAACGTCCTCCTCGTCTTCGTCGCTGGCGCCTTCGACCTCCCTCTCCTCATCCTTGGCAAATGCCAATAATGGAGGTAATTATGCACAAGTTTTAATTATTTTTAAATGAGTTTCCGTAAGTTTCGCAAAAGTACGAAAGTAAAAAGAACTAAACGCGCGAGAGAGAAGGCTTTAAAAGAGGTCTATGAAGAGAGACGTATTAAGCGCTTACGGGAGGCGCTTATAGATTTCTAGCAGCAAGTTTTTCTCCCTTTGTTCGTTTGACGCTCAGATATTTATAGTCAATGCTGAATCCGAACTCTACTAATTACATACCAAAACGGACAGCAAGACGTTGAGACCAACGGCTAGAAAAAGTGCTGGGATGATTCTTCTGAGTAACACAGAGTCGGTGGTCAGCCCAAGCTACTTCAGCAATCTAACCATTCTCTCAGTGTGTTAAATTTGGCATGTGTGGCGAAATAGTTAATTGTAGTTGAGCACTTACCCATATCACTGCCGTCACTATATCAAATGCTCTAACAGGGGTCTTAATCTCAATCCATGTCAATATGTACATCCGCAAGCCTTCCAAACGTACAAAAAGCCATAGTCGCTCTCTATTTTGTCCCGTTCTCAATGTGTTGTCAAAGTGTCAGCAAATTTAAAACGCTCTGGTTTATTCCGCAGCATATAATTCATTGCTTAGCCAGCGAAAGTGGATTTGATTTTCGGATTGTGTGCTATGTATTTTTAGGTCAGAGTGCACACATGACACAATTTGGCAATTAAGCTGTCAAATGTTGACGTACCCCCGTATTGTATTACTTCCTATGTTGCTTTGACATTTTTTTCCAGCTGCCTCTCTCTCTCGCTTCGCGTTTATAAATATACATATAAAACCGGGTTCTAATCGACACAGCTGGTAGTTGGTGACGGGCTAAACAACCTGTCAACTTAGCCCACGCAGGTTTATGAAAATTCACAAAACATTTCAGGCCTTCTGCCTGGAATCTTGACAATGGTTTAAGAGTACAATTTATGCTTAAATAAGGCAAAAGTTGTGGAGTTGCCTGGTGGAGGCCTGTTGGGGTGTCTAGATGTAGTTGCTAACCACAGTGGGGCAAGGTAATGCAAGGTAATACTCTAACTCTCAACCGCTCATCCAAATAACCGTAGCAAGTAAAGGAGGCACGAGAGCAGTGTCAACACGGCTGTCTGTCAACAAGGATGGAAACAAACGACACCGCAATGAAAGAAGTTTAATGGACTGGCAGCGGGGGCAGAACGATGATGATGATTTGCCTGCAGAAACTTTTAGCGACTTAATTACAAGAGCAACTGGAGTTCATGCACAAAAGTATTTGGCTTTGACAACGACGCCAGCATCCCAATCTTCTAGTATGCAACGGCCCAGGGAGCCAACTGTCATCGCTTTGGGTGCCCAGCAAAGCAATTACGATAAAACTTTGCACAAAATCGATCAAACATTGAAACTTGAGCAGAGCGAAGGAGATGCCATCATAGACGACGACATCGACGACTATGAGTACGAAGATGAAAGCGAAGACGAGCCAAAGAAGGAGACAACAGAGCGGCCAGTGCCTAAGACTAGGCAACAATTTAGCAAATCATTAAACGGCGATTTGCGTAAAGCAGGTAAAATGCTTGCCAAACCCCAACGGAAGTTGACGCTTGCCGAGACTGGCGATACCATCGATGGCAACGCTGTCGAGTCAGATACAGAGGCAAGCAGTGTTGCTTCTGTTATTGATGACTATAATCAAACTGACAGCACCATCAGCGTGAGCGTGGAGGGTTCCGCGCTGACAACGACGTCAGAAAGTGACAACGATGACGTTGTTGAAATCGACACCACCGAAAAGAATGGGAGGATGTCCTCAACCGTCTCCATTATTGAAAATGATTTTCAAATCAACCAGAATACAGAAGCACAAGCTCCAGCTGCAGCTGTAGCTGAAGTTGAAGTTGAAGATGAAGCTGATGCTGAAGCGAAGCAGAAACCTGCCGCTAATGATAACAATAATGAGCGTGATTTACTTGATAACAACGAGGAGCACAACAATGAGGGGCGGCTACCCCCGCAGAGAATAATTCAAACGGTGTCCGACCTAATGCTGAGCGATGCAGCACTTTTGGATAATGGCGACATCGATATAGTCAAATTAGACGAAACGCCCACCTCCAATGAAGCTAACCTTTACAAAACGGCCGTTGAGCAAGCCAAGTCAAGCCCGCACCAGCCTCCGCCAGCGAGTGAGAACGAGGTTTTCAAGGATCAGGATGGTGTATTGCCGGCACGCTTGACACCACTGAAACCTTATGTTAGCGAGCGCATTGATCGGCCCAGTAAGCGCATTCTGGTAAATCTGACCATTGCCACGGAGGGCGACAGCGCCTCCGTCTATACGCTCCATGTTGAGGTGCCGACCGGCGACGGACCCCATAACGTGGAGCAGGTGCTGACCCACGAAAAAATGGCTGGAGATGACAACAGCAATGTGGATAATGGTGGCTCGTGTGTGTTTGAGCCACCGCCCCGAATGCCCGATTGCCCCTGCAGCTGCTTGCCCCCGGAGCCACTAATTTTCGCGGACAACGACAACAGCCCGGTTGACATTGACTCTGCCGTCCCGACGACAGCGGCACCGCATGCAGAGGAAGCTACTCTCTTAAGCCATCAGCTTGATTCGAGTGATAACGAGCAGGTGGAAAGCCTGACTGACAGCACCGTTACTAACCTTCCTACCACTGACACTAATAACAACATTGCCGCTTCTGATACTAGTTCTGATGTGCTTGGTGGTGAAAAGATTGCATGCCCCGATGTTATGCCCATACTCATACTGGAAGGTGATTGTACTATCTGCTATCGATGCTAACCTCACTTTAAGTGCTTAACACTAACCCGACCATCAAATAACAGTATATAGTAGACGCAATACAGTTTATAACTGCTTAAGCTATTCTAATAATACAAACCATAATCACATTACAATCCCCAATTATTCCCGCATCTGTACAAAAAACCTTCGAGCATGAACAGTGGCACCAACATCTGGCTGGCTGCATAACGACCATCCTCATCTACTAACGAGAAAGCCGACACATAAGCAACCCTAGATGTGTGATATATAAAAACTAATCCGAATCACCTAATGATCTAGATGGTTATGATCGCATCATCATATCATAAGAGCCCTCTGTCTATATACGTATCTAAGTACTTTACCGAACATATTCTCATTCCATTTATATATAAATTACTTATTACTTATTAACTTATTAACCCAAATGTGAATTGTTTGTGCTTTGTTTTTCATCATCCAATCACTCCACGCAAATGTCGCACTCTTGTCGCATCACCTGTTTCGCTTCGCCAGGTGCTCGCACGTTCCCGGCGCGTAGTTTTCCGCCAGATGGAACTACCTTTGGCCAGATCACGTTGGGTCAGAAGCTAACGAAGGAAATACAGCCGTACAGCTATTGGAATATGCAGTTCTACCAATCCGAACCGGCCTATGTCAAGTTCGACTACACCATTCCAAGGGGTGCATCCATTGGGGTGTACGGGCGTCGCAACGCGCTGCCCACGCACACGCAATACCATTTCAAAGAGGTTCTCAGTGGCTTCAGCGCCAGCACCCGCACCTCACGTGCAGCACACGTAAGTAACTACCCGGGTCTATGTTTACTAACCTAGCTGACTAACGAATTTCACTTTCTGTGCATTTCATGGACCACCTAATCATACGTCATGCGTCACACACACACACCGCACATTAACTTATCGCGGACCGCTCACGCGCTTGCTTGCCGCCGCCAGCTTTCCATAACTCGGGAGGTGACTCGCTATATGGAGCCGGGTCACTGGTTCGTCTCGCTCTACAACGACGATGGGGATGTGCAGGAGTTGACTTTCTATGCAGCCATAGCAGAAGATATGACGCAGAACTGCCCGAATGGGTGCTCCGGCAATGGCCAGTGCCTGCTGGGACACTGCCAATGCAATCCCGGCTTCGGAGGCGACGACTGCAGTGAGAGCGTCTGCCCCGTGCTGTGCTCGCAGCATGGCGAGTACATCAATGGCGAGTGCATTTGCAATCCGGGCTGGAAGGGCAAGGAGTGCTCACTGCGCCACGACGAGTGCGAGGTGGCCGATTGCAATGGGCATGGGCATTGCGTCAGTGGCAAATGTCAGTGTATGCGCGGCTACAAGGGCAAATTTTGCGAAGAAGGTAGAATTCAGTAGTCCAGTTAATCCGAACAGATTCCTCTGTCCCCAACCCCTAGCAATTCAATTCAATTCCGACTAATTTTATTCTTTACTCTCCTCAGTGGATTGCCCACATCCCAATTGCTCAGGACATGGCTTCTGCGCCGACGGCACCTGCATCTGCAAGAAGGGTTGGAAGGGCACTGACTGCGCCACCATGGACCAGGACGCACTTCAATGCCTGCCCGACTGCTCGGGTCATGGCAACTTTGATCTGGACACCCAAACCTGTACTTGCGAGACCAAGTGGAGTGGCGACGACTGCTCCAAGGAGCTGTGCGACCTCGACTGCGGCCAGCACGGTCGCTGCGAGGGCGACGCCTGCGCCTGCGATCCGGAATGGGGTGGCGACTACTGCAACACCAAGCTGTGCGATAGCCGTTGCAACGAGCACGGCCAGTGCAAGAACGGAACTTGTCTCTGCGTAACTGGATGGAATGGCAAGCACTGCACCATCGAGGGCTGCCCCAACAGCTGTGCCGGCCACGGTCAGTGCCGGGTGAGCGGCGAGGGTCAATGGGAATGCCGCTGCTACGAAGGCTGGGACGGACCAGACTGTGGCATAGCATTGGAGCTCAACTGCGGCGATAGCAAGGACAACGATAAGGGTATGCATTTAGTATTCGAATGAAGTAGGGAACTCAGTTTTGAAAGCACATCTCACCCAACAGATGGCCTGGTTGACTGCGAAGATCCGGAGTGTTGCGCTAGCCACGTGTGTAAGACATCCCAGCTCTGTGTATCCGCACCCAAGCCCATCGACGTCCTCCTGAGAAAACAGCCCCCGGCAATAACGGCCTCGTTCTTTGAGCGCATGAAGTTTCTGATCGACGAGAGCAGCCTGCAGAATTATGCTAAGCTGGAGACATTTAATGAGAGGTAGGTGCTTCCTTGTAGCCAATTTAACGCCCGCCGTTTTTAGTTTAATTCGACAAATTGTTGGGAAAGTTCAAGTGTATAGTTTCCAGAATTGGCAAGAGGCCCGATGAGGGGCCATGTTTCCTGTATATTACAAAACATTTAGCTGAATCTCATATGTACTACCAATCAAATATTAATCAAAATAGTTTGCATAATTAATATTTTTATGTGTTTAAATATTTATGTTTTTCGTTATCGTGCCCTCGTCTAAAACAAATCCCTATTAAAAAAGGCAAGACATTGCTGAACACAAAAAATCCCAATTCCCATTGAAAACCTTGTAAATAAATCCCCACATGTCCTTTGTTCTATACTATACCGTAAAACTAAACAAACCAAATCAAATGAATCATTAAGATATACTAATAAGCTTATTTTCTATTCTTAAGGATCTTAGGTATATGAATAACTTAGATTAGCTGTTAAGTACACCTTTCACAAGGAGTTGTTATCATGATCACCTCGCCCTTGTTACACAATACTCTTTCCAGAGGTCCAATCAATCTTCCAACTCTTAATTAATTCTCAACTAACTTACTAACTAAATCAAGGCTTCTTGTGAAGGGTTCGGCTAAGAATTTCGGTGTCATCGAAAGCAAACATCTAATTTTGTTTCGGGTTTCATAACACTATCAATTCTAGTAAAAACAAAAACAAAAAAGATAAGACAACGACAACCATGCTAATTCAAATATTTTCTCTCTGCTCTCTTTTTCTTCTCATCACGCGTGCCCTAAATTCGAATAATGTTGACTAAATACCTAAAAACTTTAACTACCACTCGATCCTCCTAATACTACTACTACTCGATACTAATTCCCATACAAAATAAACATATAAACCAACATTTGCGCAACCGAATTCCAAATGCTTTGTATTGTAACTAACGAATTCTATTCGCTACTCGTTGCTCTCGCTAAAAATCAAAATCATATACTAACAGCATTTTTTGGAATTATTTCAACGCAAGGTAAGCAAGCGAAAAACCGGTATTAAATAATACTACAAATACTACAAATACTAATTCTCGATGGTTGTTTGGTACACTCATTTAATTTCCACTATAATTTTCCTTATTATTTACTTTAAGTACAAAGATAAAACTAATTTAACTTTTATTTTATAGCGTAGTATATACATATACTTTTATAAGCTGATTTTTGTAGTTCTTCTTTTATTATTATTTTGAATTCAACATACTTCTGGGATCGTACATATCCCACTCGTTACGTGACTCGCCAGACAACCAATAAAATACTTGAATTTTTAACATACGTATAAGCTATATAAGCTGTTGTACTTAGGTCAATGCTAGGTCATACACAAAGCTATATACCAACAGAAAATATACATATATACATACTATATTGTTCAAATTGTAAACCTTTGTATGTGTTGATACGAGTCTTATGTTATGTGCGTGTGAACTTTTATCATTTGTACTTATCGCATCATTTCGTTTTCTAAAGTAGTTGCGAATCATACGTTCGATGTGCTTGTTAGCCAGATGTATCTGTAGTTGACCTCAAGCTCAACACCAAAATAAGGCCCAACTAACTGTTTCATTTTGTTACTTCCCCAACAGCCGATCAGCAGTAATCCGGGGACGAGTTGTCACCTCCCTGGGCATGGGACTGGTGGGTGTGCGCGTATCCACAACCACACTATTGGAGGGCTTTACACTCACTCGCGATGACGGATGGTTTGATCTCATGGTCAACGGTGGAGGAGCCGTGACGTTGCAATTCGGACGCGCTCCGTTCCGGCCACAGTCACGCATCGTGCAGGTTCCCTGGAACGAGGTCGTTATAATCGACGTGATGGTTATGAGCATGTCCGAGGAGAAGGGTCTGTCTATGGCTACAACGCACACTTGCTTCTCGCACGACTATGATCAAATGAAGCCGGTTGTGTTGGCCTCGTGGAAGCATGGCTTCCAGGGCGCCTGCCCAGATCGCAGTGCCATATTAGCCGAGTCGCAGGTCATCCAGGAATCCTTGCAAATACCCGGCACAGGTCTCAATCTAGTTTATCACTCCTCTCGCGCTGCGGGCTATTTATCTACTATTAAACTCCAACTGACGCCCGATACGATACCTGCCTCGCTTCATCTCATTCACTTGCGAATCACCATTGAAGGAATCCTGTTCGAGCGCGTTTTTGAGGCAGACCCCGGCATCAAATTCACGTATGCTTGGAACCGCTTAAACATATATAGGCAACGTGTCTATGGTGTCACGACAGCCGTTGTCAAAGTGGGCTACCAATATACCGACTGCAAGGACATTGTGTGGGACATACAGACGACTAAACTTAGTGGGCACGACATGTCAATCTCAGAGGTCGGCGGCTGGAATCTGGATATCCACCATCGTTACAACTTCCACGAGGGAATTCTTCAGAAGGGCGACGGCTCCAACATCTATCTGCGCAACAAGCCTCGCATTATTCTTACTACAATGGGCGATGGCCACCAGCGACCTCTCGAGTGCCAGGACTGCGATGGCTTGGCTATGAAGCAGCGCCTGCTTGCTCCAGTCGCCTTAGCAGCCGCGCCAGATGGAAGTCTATTTGTTGGCGACTTCAACTATATTCGCCGTATAATGACCGATGGTAGCGTTCGCACCGTTGTTAAGCTGAACGCCACACGCGTCTCATATCGGTATCACATGGCTCTGAGTCCGCTTGATGGCACTCTTTACGTGTCCGATCCAGAATCTCACCAAATTATTCGAGTGCGCGACATCAGTGACTACTCACAGCCGGAACAGAACTGGGAGGCAGTCGTTGGCTCTGGGGAACGGTGCTTGCCCGGCGATGAGGCGCATTGCGGAGACGGTGCCCTCGCCAAAGACGCAAAACTGGCGTATCCCAAAGGCATTGCCATCTCAAGTGACAACATTCTTTACTTCGCGGACGGTACCAACATCCGCATGGTGGACCGTGATGGCATCGTGAGCACACTAATCGGCAACCACATGCACAAGTCGCACTGGAAGCCCATCCCGTGTGAGGGTACGCTGAAACTAGAGGAGATGCATTTACGCTGGCCAACTGAGCTCGCTGTGTCGCCAATGGATAACACTCTACACATCATTGACGACCACATGATTCTACGGATGACACCGGACGGGCGTGTGCGCGTCATATCCGGACGCCCACTACATTGCGCTACAGCCACCACTGCGTACGACACCGACCTGGCCACGCATGCTACTCTGGTCATGCCGCAGTCCATTGCATTTGGACCGCTAGGAGAGCTGTTTGTCGCAGAAAGCGATTCTCAGCGCATCAATCGCGTGCGCGTTATCGGCACGGATGGTCGTATTGCGTCGTTTGCGGGAGCTGAGTCCAAGTGCAACTGTCTAGAGCGTGGATGTGATTGCTTCGAGGCTGATCACTATCTGGCCACAAGCGCTAAATTCAATACCATCGCAGCCCTATCTGTCACCCCCGACGGACACGTGCACATTGCCGATCAGGCCAACTATCGAATACGCTCTGTGATGTCCAGCATTCCTGAGGCGAGTCCTTCCCGGGAGTACGAGATTTATGCGCCAGATATGCAGGAGATATACATCTTCAATAGGTTTGGTCAGCACGTCTCTACTCGTAATATTTTAACTGGAGAAACCACCTACGTATTCACCTACAATGTTAACACATCGAATGGAAAGCTGAGCACCGTAACGGATGCAGCCGGCAACAAAGTCTTCCTTTTGCGAGACTACACTTCGCAAGTGAATTCGATTGAAAACACCAAGGGCCAAAAGTGCCGGCTACGCATGACTCGGATGAAAATGCTGCATGAGTTGAGCACTCCGGACAACTACAATGTCACCTACGAATACCATGGTCCTACGGGATTGTTAAAAACAAAGCTTGACTCCACTGGACGTTCTTACGTCTATAACTACGATGAGTTTGGACGTCTAACTTCAGCTGTAACACCAACTGGTAGAGTCATTGAACTCAACTTCGATTTGAGTGTGAAGGGAGCCCAAGTAAAGGTCTCGGAAAACGCACAGAAGGAGATCTCAATGTTAATTCAAGGCACTACCGTTATCGTTAAGAATGGAGCCGCAGAGTCGCGTACTACGGTGGAGATGGACGGATCGACAACGAGCATCACGCCATGGGGACACAATCTGCAAACAGAAGTTGTTCCCTATACGATTTTAGCCGAACAAAGTCCACTATTAGGCGAAAGCTACCCAGTGCCAGCCAGGCAGCGCACAGAGATTGCCGGAGACCTAGCCAATCGATTCGAATGGCGCTACTTTGTGCGACGCCAACAGCCTTTGCAGCAGGGTAAACAAAACAAGGGCGCCCCCCGTCCAGTCACTGAAGTAGGACGCAAGCTGCGTGTCAATGGAGACAACGTGCTCACGCTGGAATACGATCGTGAAACACAGTCCGTTGTTGTCATGGTTGATGACAAGCAGGAGCTTCTTAATGTAACTTACGATCGCACTTCGCGTCCTGTTAGCTTCCGCCCACAATCCGGGGACTATGCCGATGTTGATCTGGAGTACGATCGATTTGGACGCTTGGTCAGCTGGAAATGGGGAGTCCTACAAGAAGCCTATACCTTCGACCGCAACGGGCGCTTAAATGAGATCAAGTATGGTGATGGGTCATCGATGATTTACACCTTTAAGGACATGTTTGGCTCACTACCGCTTAAAGTGACCACACCCCGTCGATCAGATTATTTACTTCAATATGATGATGCTGGCGCTCTACAAAGTTTGACGACACCAAGAGGTCATATCCACTCGTTCTCGCTACAAACGTCACTTGGCTTCTTTAAGTATCAGTATTATTCGCCCATCAATCGACATCCATTTGAGATCCTTTATAACGACGAAGGCCAGATTCTAGCAAAAATACATCCACATCAATCTGGCAAAGTGGCATTCGTGCATGACTCTGCAGGACGACTTGAAACCATTTTGGCAGGACTTTCGAGTACCCATTACACTTATCAAGAAGCAACCAGCCTGGTGAAGTCCGTTGAAGTGCAAGAGCCCGGTTTCGAGCTTCGCCGCGAACTAAAGTATCACGCAGGCATTCTGAAAGACGAAAAACTGAGATTTGGATCTAAGAACTCACTAGCTTCGGCCCACTACAAATATGCCTACGATGGCAACGCACGTCTGAGCGGTATTGAGATGGCTATTGATGACAAGGAGCTGCCCACCACTCGATACAAGTACAGTCAGAATCTAGGCCAGCTTGAAGTAGTGCAGGATCTGAAGATTACTCGCAACGCCTTTAACCGGACCGTAATCCAGGACTCAGCCAAACAATTCTTTACCATAGTTGACTACGATCAACATGGGCGTGCTAAGAGCGTTTTAATGAACATCAAGAGCTTCGACGTGTTCCGCTTGGAACTGGACTACGATCTGCGTAATCGTATCAAGTCTCAAAAGACCACCTTTGGCAGGTCGACGGCCTTTGACAAGATTAACTACAATGCGGATGGACATGTCATTGAAGTTCTAGGCACAAACAACTGGAAGTATCTGTACGACGAGAACGGCAACACCGTGGGTATTGTCGATCAGGGTGAGAAAATAAACCTTGGCTACGATATTGGCGATAGAGTCATTAAGGTGGGAGATGTCGAATTCAACAACTATGATGCCAGGGGCTTTGTAGTGCGACGAGGCGAGCAGAAGTATAGATACAATAACCGAGGTCAACTGATACACGCTTTCGAACGAGACCGTTTCCAAAGCTGGTATTATTACGATGATCGTAGCCGCCTTGTAGCCTGGCATGACAGCAAGGGAAACGTGACGCAGTACTATTATGCTAACCCTAAAACCCCGAAGTTGGTTACTCACGTGCACTTCCCCAAATTGGGAAAGACCATGAAGTTTTATTACGATGATCGCGATATGCTGATTGCACTGGAGAACGGCGAATTGCGTTACTATGTGGCTACCGATCAAAATGGTTCACCACTCGCCTTCTTCGATATGAACGGCAGTATTATGAAGGAGGTGAAGCGCACTCCATTTGGTCGCACTATCAAGGACACCAAGCCCGACTTCTTTGTGCCCATTGATTTCCATGGAGGACTCATAGATCCTCACACAAAACTGATCTACACGGAACAGCGCCAATACGATCCAACTGTCGGTCAATGGATGACGCCACTCTGGGAGACGCTGGCCACCGAAATGTCAAACCCCACAGATGTATTTATCTATCGCTACCACAACAACGACCCCATCAACCGTAATAAGCCACAGAACTACATGATCGACCTAGACGCTTGGCTGCAGCTCTTCGGCTACGAACTCAACAACATGCAGAGCAATAGATATACCAAGGTATCGCAATATGTCCCACAGGCGACGATCAAGTCGAATTCCCTTGCACCAGATTTTGGTGTTATATCGGGCCTGGAGTGCATTGTCGAAAAGATTAACGAAAAGTTCAGTGACTTTGATTTTGCCCCCAAGCCACTGCTCAAGATGGAGCCCAAGATGCGAAATCTGCTGCCCCGTGTGAGCTATCGTCGAGCTGTCTTTGGCGAAGGAGTTCTGCTATCCAGAATCGGAGGAAGAGCCTTGGTCAGCGTGGTGGACGGTTCTAATAGCGTCGTTCAGGATGTAGTTAGCTCCGTTTTCAATAACTCCTACTTCTTAGATCTGCACTTCAGCATACACGATCAAGATGTATTCTACTTTGTCAAGGACAACGTTCTGAAGCTGCGAGATGACAATGAAGAATTGCGTCGCCTTGGCGGCATGTTCAACATATCAACGCACGAAATTAGCGATCATGGGGGTAGCGCTGCTAAGGAGCTGCGCCTTCATGGACCCGAAGCGGTAGTTATAATAAAGTATGGAGTGGATCCCGAACAAGAGCGACATCGCATACTCAAGCACGCCCACAAGCGAGCAGTAGAGCGCGCCTGGGAGTTGGAGAAACAGCTGGTAGCAGCAGGTTTTCAAGGCCGTGGCGACTGGACAGAAGAGGAAAAAGAGGAGCTCATACAACATGGAGACGTCGATGGCTGGATCGGCATTGATATTCATAGCATACACAAGTACCCACAGCTGGCCGATGATCCCGGCAATGTGGCCTTCCAACGTGATGCCAAACGCAAGCGCCGCAAGACTGGCAGCAGTCATCACAGCAGTTCCAGTCGGAGACAGCAGAAATATGGAGAACTGACCGCGTGAGTGGAGGAGGACCTTGAGAATGAAGCTAGCGATGAAGCCATAGAGGAGTATGACGGGCCAGAGGACTATTTAATAGCTGTGGGCAAGTTAATCCATAAGACAAGCACGGATACAACCGTTGAGCAGTTTTTGTAATTACCTAGGTGAAATGCAACAGCGATAAGAAATATAAGCGATAGACGATAACCATTAAGCACAATACACAAAAATCATGACACGAAACACAGACTTTGATCAAGTTTAAAGTTGAAAATATTATTAGCCAGGCGAGCCCGAAGTATCGAACAGATCAACCAGCAATCCACGTAAATCTTTATAAATGTATGTATGTTGATGTTGATTTTAAGATAACGTAAATAGGGATACTATATGTTTAGTCCACGTGCAACATTATATGTACTATATTTTATTGGTATCTGATGCTCGTATGCAAAGCGGCTTCGGGCATATAGATTTGTAAAAAAAATTCCTTGACGAAAAACGCGTCGCTTGGTGACGTAAGGGGACCCAAGTAAGGCCCACTTTTTGTTTAGTCTACAGAAGTCTAATTAGCCAGTTGCATTCGATATCAGAGAAGTATTACACAACCGAAAACGAAACAAATTATGCATATTCGAATAAGAAATAGTATATATATAAATGTAAAAAGTTAAAAGAGTCCCCTGATCAAAAAAAAAAAAAAAAAAAGTAAATAAAAAAAAAAAATAACAAAGAGGATAACATAAATCAATACAGATATAATATATTCCCTAGCCCTACTTCCATACTACTCGTATATGGTAAGACGAACTTAACGCTGCTTCATTTTCATAAACTGCTTTGTATATTGTACATACACATACATTATATATAAACAACTGTAATACTTAAATATGCTTTAACACTCAGCGCGCCATTTTGATTATTTGATAACCCTATTTTAGACGTACGTATTACGTAACTGAAACTTACGTAGTCGAGGTCCATTTGACTCATATGTTAAGCAAATGCTCGAATTTACTCAAACACATATACTTAAGTTTGACAGCCAAAAATCAAAAACTCATTTTCGGGTCTGCTGCCCACCTAACCAAATCGAATATTATACTTGCACACTCGAATTCCAACTCACGTATAATATGCCCGTTCTCCTTTTCTCTGTTTGATTTCATTTCGAAGGCAAAATGCATTAAAAATCTTTTTACAAATTGTGATATATTTCTAAACATTTCGTTCACAACTTGAAATGTTGCATAAATGAAGCCGAACGTTTATAACAGCAAAGTACTTTACTCATTCGTGTTTTTTTTTACATAAGTTTTAAGATTTTAGTTTATTAAAACGCAATATTTAATTTAAAGCTTTGCCATGTTAATTTGTAAAAACAATGCAGTTCATAATGCCTTTAATCCAATGCTAGTTTAAGAACAACCGTAGAGATCCGTATTCTTTTATTTTCTTTTTTTTTTACCACAATCCATAAATTGTCTTGAAATTCCTTGTTTTAACTGACGCTTTGCTAAATTGTTTTTATTTTTTTATTATTATTATTCAGATTATTAAACTATATCTGAAACTAAACTATTGACTATTGAGGTATAAATAATCTAGCAATAAAAGTAAGAAAGGATACTTAAGTCTTAATACTCATCCACATATATGAAATACACTCTGTAATATATATACAAATACACAAACATATAAACATACACACGCACACAGAATACACGTACACACACACACATACACACTTAACTACACATCGTTAACTAAGGATTAGGCTAAAGATGAACGAAATATAGCACTTAAATATACGGAATGTAAAAGTGAAAGCAAGGAGTTAATCGTAATAAAATGTAGGAATTAGTTAAAGTGTTAGTAATTTTATTAAATAAAATTATATATAAAGTGCAGAACACATAACGAAGAAAAAGAAACATGTAAGTCTAAGCATCAAGAATATTATATAAATAATAATAAAACGAAATCGAAACTCAAATATAGTTATATTAGTATAAGTTTGCATCATTGTCTCATGCGGAATGAAATGTTGTGTAAAGAAAACGATATTTTCATGTTTTCCAAAAATAACAGAAAACGAAGCAAAAACAAAGAACAAAAAAACAAGAAACAAATACTATTTTACACAAAACGAATTGTATAATAATAAAGAAATGCAGCAAAACTTATATAAATGTATATGTAGTTAAATTAAGCAGCATTATATTAACCAAAAACCAAATGAAAATTATTGAAATCAGCTAAACAAGAAAAATTGTGACTGAGAAGGAAGAGAACTATCTACGTCGTCTACTCAATTGTGCTTAAATCTACTTAGTATCTTTTGTTCTTCACAAGGAGTTGTAAATTTTCCGAGAATAACAAACGCAGAGGCAACATAACATAAACACATATGTATTACAATTCGTTACGCTCATGTTTATGCATTGGTATTGACCCAACTTATAGAGCAGAGAATCTGTGCTAGAGCAAATGATAACCTTTGATAATAAATAAATTATGAAGAATACTTGTATTAAATGTACGAAATTGTCTCCAACTAAAGTTGCGCCGTCGTTGTCATGCGGGCAAAAGTCATGCAAATTGAAGTAAAAATACTCTTAAGCAAAGCAGATATCAACTTAACACATACAAACACACACACTTATGGCAACCCGGCATATATGATACAACCATATATATCTAATAGTATAACGAATAAAAAGCGATTTCAATAAAAGTAAAAAATTACAAAAAAAAAAAAAAAAAAACACATTTCTTTTTAATTCTTGGGTTGGGCTTTAAAAGCTTTCTTCTTATATTATATTTTCAGCTTTTCAGTCTCTATGATGTCAAATAATATTTATGTAAGTCGTTCGTCCACGATTATGGAGAGTATATTAGTTTTCAGAAATGTTGCCCAAGCTGTACCTTATATGAATCTTGATGGAATGATGAAATAAAGATAGTCTAGACTCTAGAGCTAAGCAACTGTCAAATGATGGCGTCAAAGCCCAAAACAGTAATAATAAACAGTAGAACTTCATTGACAAACCTCCAGGATCTTAACAGCCCCTCATGTCAAATTTTAGACTGCTATCATTTAAAATAATAATTTGATCTGATTGACCATACCTCCAACAGTGGTGTATCTATATGTACATATGTATATTAAACGAGTATATAATTACAAACTTTATCTTGTAGAGGCACGTATATATACACCGAAGTGCTGTAATCGCTTGGAATTGGAAGATGCCTCCACGTTAATTAAAAACAAGTAAAAATGCTCCAATCGAGACTGCTCGACTAGGAGATAACCTGAACCCTCTAAGCAGATATTCTACTCGTTCTGCACTTCTTATATGCACACATGCATCCACAAGCACGCGCTCTGCTGACTGCGCAGTTAGCAGCGACTGCGCTTGGGCTGCGCTGCAGTGTGCGCAATAATATGAGAATTTAATTGATGGATAGTTTGTTTTATAGATAGACTATCTTTATGAGAGCGTGATCATATGGTTAAAATGTGTGTACATTTCAAAGCATAAATCTCTAGTATGAAATCGATTCAGCTCGTCGTGCTGATCAAGAATATATATACTTTATGGGGTCTGCGATGATTCCTTCTGCCCCTTACATACTTTTTTACAAAACCATTATACCCTGATTTCCCATTTTCAATGGGTGATAATTTTGAGGTTATCTAAAATGAAGCTATCTTGTAAACTAATAAACAAAATAACATAATTTGTATTTTTTGGAATGAAAACCAATCATTCCAACGATACCGATACATCATCAATTTATATATTTATATATTATATTTGCTTCCCTTCAGTCGAAAAATGCTACATTCGAATGCATTCTTTACAAAATTCCGGTGTTGCGTTTCATTTTGCAAATTTACCCAACTTTGAGGAGTTATAACTGCCCTTAAAATTCACTTATTTTCAAAACTAATTTGGATGTTATCCCCATAGTTAATTTCCAATCGAATGGCATCAAAATCCAAAATCGGTGATTATGACTTTAGTTATGTTTGCCACGCACTGCCGGCAGAGGTCCTACTCTGCGTCGTGTCAAATATATGGACAATGTCGTTCATAAACACGATTATTCCTCCTACACACAATTACAAAAAATTATTTTAAAACAAAGCTGAATTGAATTTGTTCAAAAATTTATTTCATACTTCGTAATTCCTCCATTCGCCATAAATACCAACCGATTAGACATTAATTTCAAGTTCAGCACCTATTATAGGCTGTAGCCCTTTGGGTTCTCCGTAAAGATTGTGCTTCCAGACGGCTGATTAACAAAATTTGAATATGGCACTGGGGCCACATCAAAGATGAGTGTTTTATTTAGAGCACCAGTGCTACGAGTTAAAATAAGAAGCTTTCCGTTTAGGCTCTTATCAATAGTGTTAAGATCACTAATTTTCTGTTGGTTATCCATCACGTAAATGTTGTAGCTGACGCCGTAGAGTCCAAAAAGCACATTCAGCTCACTTCGCAATTTGTCCAACGTGATGTACTCTTTGCTGATACTATCCTGAAGTAAAATGGATCCCTTGCTACTGTTCACGAATCGGGGTTGCAGCTCGCCATCTAGCGCCACGTTTAGCCACGCGAGCTTTGGCAGTTGCAGCTCCTCAGTGGAGCAAATTGTCAAGTTAAGTTGCACGCCTTTGAGGTCGCAAGCCTCACTGATAATTTGCCTCTTTGATTCGATCTTCTTCTGATCAAATGGAAGGAACTCCGACTTGACTGCCCCCTTTATCATGGACGAATAGTTGACCAGAACCTTTTCCAGTTGCGACTTCGTTTCAAGAGTTTCCTTTTTGCTATCATTACTCTTCAGATCATAAAATATGATCACTGGGTCGGTTGGTATGAGCTGAGCCTTTTTCTTTAGCTTTTGCACACGATTAATAGCCTCGCGAGCTAAGCCTTCCTCGAGCAGTTCCGCATTTGGCGTCATGTCCAATAGAACCAAGACTTCATTATCGCTATGGGCTTCAAAATTTCCAGCAACCTTATCGGAGGTGCAGTAAATAATGCGCACTTCCTCCAGCTCAATGCGTTGGTCCAGCACACTGAAGTATCCTTGGGCCACCTGCTTTTGAATCTCCTCGTCTTTGAGCGCTTTTATGGCTGCCATAACTGCCTTAAAGTTCCCCTTCAAGCGTTGTCCAAGCGTCTACAAAAAGTGTATAAAAGAATAGTGAAATAAGAATTGTGATCCAATATCATCAGCATTAGAGGCCTACCTTATGATCGGGCTCGGCACGTAGTGTCACTCCGTACTTTTCCTTATCCGAACTTAGCGTTAGTTTGCGGACATTCAGTTCGCTAAGTATAAAATCTTTCAAGCTCTCAATCTCCTTCAGGGTCTGTTCATCTTTATGAATAACAATAATTTCCGAAATGGGATATTTGACGGGCAGTGTGCGACGGTCGCGCATAACACGACCCAGCTCAACAACCGACTGCATCAGTGCCACGGATCGCTCAATGTCGCTGCGGATAAACTTGCGCTGGCTAACAGGCATCATTTGATAGTGCACAGAGTCAGAATGCTCCAAGCTACCTGCGGGCTGGAACAGCACCAGGCGTTGGAAAATATACTCGGTTAAGTACGGGGTGAAGGGTGCCATCATCTTAACCATTGTGTACAAGACGTCGTACAGAGTATCTAAAGATTGTATGCACTGCTCCGCACTCAGTTCGCCCTTAATGCGACGGCGATTCAATCTCACGTACCTAGGGGAAAATGAAATTTTTATTTTTGAGCTACAAAGACATGAGTGTCACTTACCAGTTAGTCAGTTGATCAATGAATTTAGTTAGTCTCGGCACGACCGTATAAAGGCGATACATTTTCATCTCAGTCGCGAAGAACTCCAACAGGGACTCTTTAAACGACAGGATCCACACGTCAATGACAGAGGCGTTTTCCATGTTTTGCAAATGTCTCGATCGCTCATAGGTATACTGGGCCTTACCGCCCAACTCCTCTTTCTCGTAGCGCACAATATTTTGCAGGAGAAAGCGATAAGCATTATACCAGGGGAGGAACACGTCCTTAATTATATCGCGCACACCTTCCTCCTTGAAACGCAAGCTTTCTGCGCGCACCACCGGCGAGTTGATAAGATACAAGCGAAGCGCATCAGCTCCATACTTATGAACAACGTCCATGGGATCCGGATAGTTCTTCTTGCGCTTGGACATTTTCTGCCCATCTGCAGCCAGCACCAATCCACTCGCAATTAGGTTCTTGAATGGGGCCTTGTTAAACAATGCCGTTGAGATCACCAGGAGCGTATAGAACCAGCCGCGTGTCTGGTCGATACCCTCAGCAATGAAGTCAGCTGGAAAATTGTTCATGAAATCTTTTTCATTCTCGAAGGGGAAATGCTGCTGCGCAAATGGCATCGACCCAGACTCGAACCAACAGTCGAACACGGGCGCAATTCGACGCAACGGAGGATTTCCGGGAATAGCCGACGGGATTTCAATGTCGTCAATAGTCTCACGATGCAGATCATCTACTTGAACGCCGGATAGTTCAGCCAACTGCTTAATGCTGCCTACGACAACTGTTTCATCGCCATTTGGAGAGCGCCAGATGGGTATAGGAGTGCCCCAATAGCGGTTACGAGAAATCTATAAATATATTTTGAAACGTTAGAGTAGTGAAAACTTATCCAATATAAGAAGACATCTACTTACTGCCCAGTCTCTAGCATCCTTCAGCCAATTTCCAAATCGCTTCTCCTTAACAAAGTCCGGAACCCAGTAAGTCTGGGAGCTACTGGCTAATAAGTTCTTGGACATATGCTCGACGCGCACAAACCATGAAGGCACCGCCTTGTATATCAACGGGGTGTCCGAGCGCCAGCAGAAGGGATAGCTATGCTTGACCTGGCCACTGGAAACCAAATTTCCGCTCGCCTTTAGCTTAGCTATAATGTGCTTATCCGCATCCTTAACGAACTGGCCAGCAAAGTCGGTGACCTCTGAAGTAAACCGACCGGAGTCGTCGACAGGGCAAATCACCTCGCTTGACTTTGTGATAATGCCAGCGGCTAAGCAGACGCGGTAATCGTCCTCGCCAAAGTAGGGCGCATTGTGCACAATACCAGTACCAGAGTCCTCCGTAACATACTCATCCACCAGCATGCGGTGAGCGTTCACCTTGGCGCCCCGTTCGGCAAAGTAGGGGAAAACCGGCTTGTAATAAAGGCCTTTAAGCGTTTGCCCTGCAAACTTCTCCTTCACTTCGTATTCTGCTTCACTCTTAAATACATAAGACAATCGTGACTCGGCCAGAATAAACAAGCGATCGCTCTTTACATCGCGCACCTAGATGAGGGAACCAAAATATAGTGATTAAAAGTTAATAACTATTTTGAAAATGTAAAGCTCTAGGAAACAAATGGAATACCTATTTACGTGGTTTCACCAATATTATAGAATCTAGCGAAATTTCAAATTATTTACCTTGACATAAGTCATCGTAGGATGAACACAGCAGGCAAAGTTGGAAGGAAGTGTCCAAGGTGTTGTGGTCCACACCAAGAAGTAGGTGTTGGGAAGTGACTTGGCCTCGAGTGCAACAACCACACAGGGATCAACCACCTCTTTGTAGTTCTGGTTCGCCTCGAAATTGGACAACGAGGTGGTGCACGCCGTGGAATAGGGCATCACCTTTACACCCTGATACACCAGACCCTTGTCGAAGAGCTGCTTGAAAATCCACCATATGGACTCCATGTACCATGGGTATAGTGTCTTGTAATCATTTTTAAAATCAATCCATCGGCCTACACGCGTCACAATGGTCTCCCACTCGTCCGCATAGCGCATGACAATCTTCCGGCACTCGGCGTTGTACGCCTTGATGCCCATCTTTGCCACGTCCTCTGGACCCTTAATGTTAAGAAGCTTGTCGATTTCGAACTCCACGGGCAATCCGTGGCAATCCCAGCCAAAGCGCCGATCCACATGGTAGCCTTGTTGATACGCATATCGTGTGACAATGTCCTTAATGGTTCCCGCAAGGATATGTCCATAGTGAGGCAGGCCAGTTGCGAAGGGTGGCCCGTCGTAAAAGGTGTATCTAGCAATTATTTCAATATTACGGAGTTGGATGATGCAACCAATTGCAGTTCTTACTTGGGCTTTCCTTTGGACAGCTGACTACACCTTTCAAAAATTTTGTCGGCTCGCCATTGCTTCAGCACATTTTCTTCCTCAGCCGGAAAGTTAATGGTTTCAGGAACACGACAAACGTCATCGCGTTTCAGTTTCTTCGTATTGCTCATTTCTGTAAGCTGTGATAGTGAATTGCACTTTTTAGCTCTAACTAAGGTATTTGAATAATTTACCTTTTATAATAAGAGTTGAAAATGCGGAACTGATGTGATGGCAACAACATGTGCTTATCGAATGCACCGCTCTCAATTCTCGTTCTGAACTATCGAAATTCGATAAAACGAAAATTACAGTAGTGGCAGTACCGCGAAATATACAATATTCATAACAATTTTTTAAATTTTATTATAAATTAATAAATAATAATACACTTTCATATTAAATATTACATTGTATCACCTTTATATGTATGTATATTATATTCTTTGTTTAGTGATTTAGTTACTTTTATTTAGTATTTTCTGAGTATTCTGGCCATTAAAATTTGTTTAGTGGTTGCATCAGTTTAGATACAAATATAATACCAAAAAATTAAAGTATTGCAACATTCTAAAATTAAATACAAGTACAAAATAATATAACAATAAAATGTTACAAACAATTTCTTATTAATCTTATATTTATATTTCAGTATATTATTAAACAGGAATAACATTTAGTATTTGACGATGCAGTATATTTTGTTAGTCCAAGACTTGGGCACATTGTATAAAATGTGTACATTTAGCGTAGCCGTCTATAATATTATAAGTAAAGGCCAGTAAACAGAATTATTAGCGCTGTTTAAGTTTTGATATTCATAAATATTCGAATCTGAAGTTGATGTATTGGATGCTATTCAATACTTGCCATAAGCGGTACATGCAAATATAGTTTCCGTTCGAGAGACACTCGCAATCAAAAACAATGGCACGCCCTATTTTTCCCAATCAGCAAAAAATTGCTGAAAAGCTGATAATTCTAAACGATCGTGGTCTCGGAATTCTTACACGCATTTACAACATTAAAAAAGCATGTGGGGACACGAAATCAAAGCCAGGCTTCTTGTCCGAAAAGTCGCTGGAGTCGTCAATCAAATTTATTGTGAAGCGCTTTCCCAACATCGACGTCAAAGGCTTGAATGCAATAGTGAACATCAAGGCTGAGATAATCAAATCTCTCTCGCTCTATTACCACACGTTTGTCGACCTGCTGGACTTTAAGGACAACGTTTGTGAGCTGTTGACAACTATGGACGCTTGCCAGATCCACCTGGACATCACACTGAACTTCGAGCTGACCAAGAACTATTTGGACTTGGTAGTTACCTACGTTTCCCTAATGATTGTGCTCTCCCGTGTCGAGGACCGGAAGGCAGTGCTGGGACTTTACAATGCGGCGTTTGAGTTACAGAACAATCAGGCGGATACCGGTTTTCCTCGTCTGGGGCAGATGATCCTTGACTACGAGGTGCCGGTAAAGAAGCTGGCCGAAGAGTTCATTCCTCACCAGCGCCTGCTCACTAATGCATTGCGCTCCCTGACCTCTATCTATGCCCTACGAAATCTGCCCGCGGACAAGTGGCGCGAGATGCAGAAGCTCAGCCTGGTGGGCAATCCGGCCATTCTACTGAAGGCAGTGCGTACGGACACAATGTCGTGTGAGTACATTTCGCTGGAGGCTATGGATCGCTGGATCATATTCGGGCTACTGCTAAACCACCAAATGCTGGCCCAATATCCGGAGGTAAACAAAATATGGATATCGGCTCTAGAAAGCAGCTGGGTGGTAGCTCTCTTTCGGGATGAGGTGCTGCAGATTCACCAGTACATTCAGGCCACATTCGATGGAATCAAAGGCTACAGCAAGCGAATCAGCGAGGTTAAGGAGGCCTACAACACGGCCGTTCAGAAGGCATCATTGATGCATCGAGAGAGGCGCAAGTTTCTGCGGACCGCGCTGAAGGAACTGGCACTTATTATGACCGACCAGCCGGGTCTTTTGGGGCCTAAGGCAATATTCATATTTATTGGACTTTGCTTGGCGCGCGACGAGATCCTTTGGCTGCTGCGCCACAACGACAATCCGCCGTTGATAAAGAACAAAGGTAAGTTGCTGCCTTCAGTTGTCCATCGCTTATTTAACTTTGAGCTGTACTTGCAGGCAAGAGTAATGAAGACCTGGTAGATCGACAGCTTCCAGAACTATTGTTCCACATGGAGGAGCTGCGCGCGCTGGTGCGCAAATATAGCCAGGTGATGCAGCGGTACTATGTGCAATACTTGTCCGGGTTTGACGCCACGGATCTGAACATCCGCATGCAAAGCCTGCAGATGTGCCCAGAGGACGAGAGCATTATTCTCAGCTCGCTGTACAATACTGCCGCTAGCCTGACTGTCAAGCAAGTGGAGGACAACGAGCTTTTCTACTTCAGACCCTTCCGGTTGGACTGGTTCCGCCTGCAAACATACATGAGCGTCGGCAAGGCATCGTTGCGCATCACGGATCACATGGAGCTGGCACGCCTGCTCGATTCGATGGTGTTTCACACGCGTGTTGTAGACAATCTGGATGAGATACTTGTGGAGACTTCGGATCTAAGCATTTTCTGCTTTTATAACAAAATGTTTGACGATCAGTTTCACATGTGCCTGGAATTCCCGGCCCAGAATCGCTACATAATCGCGTTTCCTCTGATCTGCAGCCATTTTCAGAATTGCACTCATGAAATGTGTCCAGAGGAGCGACACCACATACGTGAGCGTTCGTTGAGTGTAGTCAACATTTTCTTGGAGGAAATGGCCAAAGAGGCCAAAAACATTATAACGACAATTTGCGACGAGCAGTGCACAATGGCAGATGCTCTGCTGCCCAAGCATTGTGCCAAGATCTTGTCCGTTCAATCGGCACGCAAGAAGAAGGACAAGTCGAAATCCAAGCACTTTGACGATATACGGAAGCCAGGCGACGAGTCGTACCGCAAGACACGTGAAGATCTGACCACAATGGATAAATTGCACATGGCCTTAACTGAGCTATGCTTCGCCATTAACTATTGTCCCACTGTGAACGTTTGGGAATTTGCGTTTGCTCCGCGCGAGTATCTCTGCCAGAATCTGGAGCATCGATTTTCGCGCGACCTGGTCGGCATGGTGATGTTCAACCAAGAGACCATGGAAATAGCCAAGCCATCGGAGCTGCTCGCCAGTGTACGTGCGTACATGAACGTGCTGCAGACCGTGGAGAACTACGTGCACATTGATATCACGCGTGTGTTCAACAACTGCCTGTTGCAACAGACGCAGGCTCTGGACTCGCACGGAGAGAAAACGATTGCAGCGTTGTACAACACCTGGTATAGCGAGGTGCTGCTGCGCCGGGTCTCTGCCGGCAATATTGTCTTCTCTATAAATCAGAAAGCGTTTGTGCCTATTTCGCCAGAGGGCTGGGTACCGTTCAATCCGCAGGAGTTTTCCGATCTAAACGAACTGCGCGCCCTGGCCGAGCTAGTTGGTCCTTATGGAATCAAGACTTTAAACGAGACGCTCATGTGGCACATCGCCAACCAGGTGCAGGAGCTGAAGTCGCTGGTGGGCACCAACAAGGAGGTGCTCATCACCCTGCGCACCAGTTTCGACAAGCCGGAGGTCATGAAGGAACAGTTCAAGCGGCTGCAGGACGTTGATCGAGTACTGCAGCGCATGACCATAATTGGAGTTATTATCTGTTTCCGTAACCTTGTGCATGAGGCATTGGTGGATGTGCTGGACAAACGAATCCCATTCCTGCTTAGCTCGGTGAAAGACTTCCAAGAGCACTTGCCAGGTGGAGATCAGATACGCGTCGCATCCGAAATGGCCTCGGCGGCGGGTCTGATATGCAAGGTGGACCCCACATTGGCCACAACATTGAAATCAAAGAAGCCAGAGTTTGACGAGGGCGAGCACCTGACCGCCTGCTTACTGATGGTATTTGTGGCCGTGTCCATACCAAAGCTGGCTCGCAATGAACACTCCTTCTACAGAGCCACCATCGATGGGCATTCGAATAATACTCACTGCATGGCAGCTGCTATCAATAACATCTTCGGAGCCCTGTTCACGATCTGTGGACAGAACGACATGGAAGATCGTATGAAGGAGTTCTTGGCATTAGCCAGCTCGTCCCTCCTGCGCTTGGGTCAAGAGTCCGACAAGGAGGCTACCCGCAATCGAGAGTCCATCTACTTGCTGCTGGATGAGATAGTGAAGCAGTCACCATTCCTCACCATGGACCTTCTAGAGTCCTGTTTCCCGTACGTTCTTATCCGCAATGCCTATCATGGTGTCTACAAGCAAGAGCAAATAATGGGCCTGGGCCTATAGAGGTCATAGAGCAAAGTGGATTAAAAGTCTCGCATTCTTATCCGAGTATTAAGCTATATAGTTTTTGATAATCGATCATTGTGCATTATGCTTACGAATAATGAGTACATATTATTCTATTGTTAGACCTTAATAATTATATATAATATATATTGATAACGCCCCTACTAAACCCTGTCTGCGTATAAGGCAAAAGTATTCAGCATTTTGATACATTCTTTGTATAAATAAAGTGCATATGCAAACCAAATCATAAGATCTGTGTACTTCATTCGGCTCGGAATGCGGAACCCGTTTCCATAGAATACGACGTTAGTCTGTTATTATTATTGTTCTTTATTACCCATGTGTATATTAGATGTGTATTGTTTATTTATTATTTCGTTAACGTGTCGATCGAAAAATCTTCCACAATATTATATTATTTGGTCACGTTTAATGTTTCATTCTTAGGCTTGTGTAGAAATACTTGTTGTAGGTAAGTAATAAAATATGTTTAGTTCTCGTCCAAGTACAATGCAAAGTGTTTTAGTTTAAATTTCATTAGAGAATTATCAATTCCAATACAAGCGTTTCACTTGTGATTTACGTTGAGACCATATTGATTCTGTGGAGTTACACGCTCTGATTTATACCGTTGTGCACTTAGTTTGACTTAGTTTGTGATTATCTCTGTTCAAAGCACGCAGCTGTCATAGGTTTGTTTGTACAAATAAAACGATAACTTACATCTCTCTCTATAGAAGAGCAAGCATTGATCATGCATAAATGAAAATCTCCACTCTGGGATCCTAACAATGTGAAACCAATTCGGAAATGAAATAGACACAATTTTATTCTGCTGAAGTTCTACAATGTTTGGTTAGCTATACCACAATCACTACTTGCTGCTAGAAAGCGGGCTGTATTTGTTTCTTTAGACTTGATCGTAA